CGAACTGTCCTGGTGGCAGCTTCGCTAGGTACTGAAGCAGCAGACTGGAAACCTGCTACGTGGACGTACTTGGCCGCGTAAACACAAAATGCAAGTTTCCATGTTGCGTAAACAGATGGACCTCAAGGTGGGGGGGCCTCTCATACGGCGCGGAGACGGGGGCGGGGGCCTTGTTTTTGTGCCATCGAACCAATCATTTGCGTGGTGGCACGGGGGGGGGGGGGGGGNNGGGGGGGGGGGGGTGCCCTCCCCCCTCCCGGCCGTTAACTGTTGTGAAAGGACCAGGTAACCGAGGTGAATGGCAAACGACAACCCCCAGGCAGAGCGTAGCTAGCTTTCGTGACTTGCTGTTTCACAAGTGGCTTTATGCGCTTACTTCACATGTCATCATGCAATGACTGTCTGAGGAGGGCAGCAGAAAGAGTAATCCCTTCAGAGGATGCCTGAAAATACCGGGCCTCGGGTTTGCTGAACATCCACTTCTTGAAGACGGCCGCTTCTTTGGTGCCACCTGCCTGGATATCCAAGGCCGTGCAAGATGAGAGCTGACTGAGAGGTCATTATCATTTCGACAAATCAGTTCGCTGACTGACCTGCTAGGCTACTCACCTCGACTGCATAGGCAGCCAATGTCCAGGGCGCTCCGACAAAGCCTTCGCCAAATGCAGGACGGGTGCTGTTATGCATCACGCTTCTCCTCAGGTTACAGCTTGCAGGGTACCTAGCAAGCTGCACTTCTTCTCCGTTTCGCTCCTCAGCGCCTTCCAAACAGAGTACATGCGTGCTCGGGACTGTGCAAAGTAGGCCTAATCTGTCGCGGAGTTTGGTACAACGTGCTTAGCTTCCCATCCTGCGAGATCCTGCCTGAAGCGTCTCTTTCAAAAAGCCGTGGCTGTCTTTGAAGCCCTCGTGGCTCGAGACTTCCCTGAGACTGCGTTCATCTGAGCGGAAAAAGCTCGTATACTCTTCCCAGCAAGTCCTGATCTCTCCGGGGCCCTCTTGCAGGCGGTCCTGCAGAAAGCACTGCCAAGCGAAAGCAAGGGAAAAGCTACCCAGCTGATGCAGCTTCCGCTTCCTCCAGGGTGCGCGCCAGGTCGCCAAGCACGATGGGCCCTCGCCCACGCACGACATCGAAGCTAATGCCCATAGCTGGCAGGGGCGTCAGAATGTCCGAGAAGACCTAGGTGCGCATGTCTTGGCCATACATTCTACCCAAAATTCCGGCAAGCGGCAATGACTCCGTCCATGCCGTACCTGGGCACGGATGGCCCGGAGGCCCTGGATACATCACGCAAACATCTGCATCCTCGACTTGGGCAACAGCTGTCTCCAGCACTGGAGCGAGAGTTCGATGGCCATGTCCGGCGTCTCCGAGCGTTGCCTAACACAGAACATGCGACACATTTCACAAAAAGGCAAGAGTTTCAGTCTGAGTTCGGTCCCGGCCTAAATGGATATCTCTCCGAGTACTTCCGAAAGGCTTTCATGTACCGCCCGGCTTGCCGCATTAGCCACACGGGTGTGTGCTCCCCTGTCTCGCCCCGCGCCACGCGCAGCAGCAGGTCATGGGGGGCTGGGGTTCCCCTTGTCCCGAGCTCTGCCGGTCTTGGCAGAGTGCGCACATTGCGAGCACCACCTCGCTGCCGGTCACGACGGCAGAGCGTCGCCGCGCAGAGGCTCGCAGCGGCACCCAGCACGATACCAGAGGAATCGCGGGGAAGTTCGGGCTTTGTGGACCTCGTCCTCTGAATGCGAGGAGCTCGGGCAACAGGCAGGGACGGGCTTGCCGCCACAAACCCGAGGCTGCCCTCGGCCATGGCGTGCAAATCTCTGGCACCCTACAGTCTCTGAACAATGCTACGAGTCCGTGGCAAGGGTTGCAGAGAGACGACTTCACAGACCCAACTACAAACACAGCACTCCACAGCTCTGGCAAGGTCGCTGTGGCGCACCTAAAGTCGCGTTCGAGGGCACCTCAAAGCAGGGGTCATCCCAGTCTTCTGGGGCAAGGTTCCGGCTACGGCCCTGGCCGGGAGCGGCTCGGCGAAGTTGGACTGCAAGCCTTGGCCGCATTTCCGATCGCGGGCTTCGGCCTTGCGCGGCTCAGGTGCTGCGCTGCTAAGGTCCCGGCGTCTCGCCACCTCGCTGAAGACAGCCTCAAAGTCCTTCACAGTCGGCATGAGTGGGCTGCCCGGCTCTTACAGATGGCATGTCAACGCAGCACGACCTCGCCGCGGTGACTGGCGTTGCCGCCGCTTGGCGCCTTGCGAAGACAACTTGAGGCTTCAATCTTCTGTTGAGACGTTGCTGCTGCTGATCGGTCATGTACGAGATAGAAACAGCGGCGCTCAACCAATGCCAAAGCAAGACCTCAGCCCTCTTCGTTCCCAAGAGGCCATGACGCTGAGGTTGCTCGGCGTGCGGATGATCGGCTCAACGTTTCCGAGAAACTGGCGAATGTTCCTGCTACGTAAGGCTGAAAGAGGAAAGAGTGAGAGTGCGGTAGAGGACGATTGCTGCAGGCTTACGGCTTCGTAAACTACAATTTCTCTGAACGGTCTGTTGAATCCACTTGCTTGGAGGCAGAATGACTGCAAGCCAGGGTGGAAGATGAGCTGCTGAGCACCCTTTGTGCACTCACCGACGCAAGCATCAGGCTGTCCCTGGTGGCATCCACTGCGCAATCTGCGACTGGTGGGATTCCATGTGAGACCTTGCACCCGGTTGCTGGGACTTCGTCGAGGCTCTGCTTGCTTTACACTTCATTGGCCTTACCTGGTGAAACGATCTGAAACACGGGCGTTGGGCACAAAAAAACCTTTACAGACGTAACTCTTGCAAGCATGCTGCAATGCCATGACCCGAATCTGCCGCAGCAGTTCGTATGGACTCTTGACATCGACCCCAGTTGTACCAAGGTGCTGGTCCCGTCGCAGGAGCGGGTGCTCCTGAGGTGCATCCATCTCGCCCGGCTCAGCCCAGCCAACACTGCCCGCCTGGAGCTTCCAAGCGCTTCCATGATCGATTCTACTACGGTCGGCATGAAGGTTTCTTTGTGTAACGTGTTGATGAGACATTCGAACGGCTAGCCAGCCAGCCCGATGGCAACTAGTGGGCAGCCACGAACTTGGGCACCAGCTGCAGCTGCGACTCGCAGTCCTGGACAGGTTTGTAATGGGTCGGATCGAACCGCTGCAGAATCGCATACAACACGCATGGCTGCCTGGAGGTGGTGGCATCTGCATGCGCCGGAACCTAGGCATCCGAAGCGAAGAAGACAAAGATCCTTGCTGCCAGCTACTTCAGCGAATTTGCGAAAACTGCAGTGACTGCCCAGCACGTGGCGGCTGTTCCCCCCAATGCTATCTCAGTTGACGGCTGGCCACCCCTGTGAACTCCATGGATGACCTGAGTAGGGCGCTGCAAATCGAAGGGTTGACTCTGAACCCATGCACCCGGACTATCAAAGTTTGAAAATGCATAGCTATCGGTGCGAATGTTGGGCAACAGGGCAGCACAACATTGCTACATCAAACAATGTAGAAGCATGGGTATTATCATGTGCCATCTCTTGGCCAGCTGCACCAGCCTCACCCAGGTCGATGTCTACCTTTAAAGTTGGGCAAAACTCGAAAGCCGAGGTCATGCCCACACGGTCTTGCTTGACTTTGCTTGCAAGCTCCGGGCCCGAAAAGTCATGCTTTCGCCATCCATCCCAGGGTTTTCTTGGTCGAACCTTGGGGTCTGCGCTCCGCTCACTCTCTGTGAGCATGAGAGCAGTTGCCATGCGTCTTCTCCTTCGTCTGTTGCTGGGCTTGGGGACGGTGGCTGTGTGAAAATGTGGTTGGGGGCCCAAGTTGGGGGGGTGGTGGACGAGGTGAGTGCTTGGGTGGGTGGGAAGGGTGGGTGCGTGGTGACTTCTCTCCCATGGATCCAGGGTGAGGCGGTTACAGAACTTTTTGGGCGGTGGCAGCGGATATCGCTGGCCGTAACCTCTCGCTCTCTTCTCTTTCTTCAACGGGTGTCCTTTCTCGTCCTTCTTCTCTCTGCATGTAGCATGTCGGATGGCTAAGCACTCAGGATGCGAACACAGCCTTGCTCGACCCATCTTCCTCACGGAAAGTAGAAGTCTGGTCCCCAAAGCACAGCCGCAGATGACATGACTACAACGTCTGCGTGCCGAGCACTTGGATGGCATTTTGCAAGACCTTGCGTCCAGCTGTAGCAAGTGACATTCTCCATGCTGGGACCGGGAGAGTCAGGCGAGATGTCAGGCTCACGGGAGTTAACTTCGGGAAAGCGCGCAAAGTCAGAGAAATCATCTGCTTCACATGAATCAGCTTCTGTTTTCAAACTCAGGGGCGACCTGGTCATCTTACTGTTGCGGGGGGGGAGTTCCATCCAAGCGGCACTGGCAATCCCCTGGCCATCGCCGCCAAAGTCGCCATCCATGTCACCGTCGTACTCCTGCTGGACTCATATTTGGCCATCAGCTATGCCGTTCCCCGAACCAAAGAACCCAAACCGCCACGGCATCACAGAGTCGTGGGTTTCTTCTGAATCTTTACATCAGTTGCTCTGTACTGAGTTCTGGCGCCAGGAGGCTGGGCCCTGGGATGCCCTGGGCCCTGCGCCTCCTCGTTCTCATCGTAGCCTTCGTCCTCATCCTCGTCGCCTTCGTCCTCTCGCTGCGCTGCGGTTCGACTGCAGCTATCGAAGCTTGGGCTCTGCCCTGCCGGGCCCCTCTCCTCGCCATCATGCCCGTGATGCTCAGCCTCCTGCAAGCACCCAAGAAATCCCAAGACACGCCAGTCAGATCTCTCGCTGCAACGCCCCGTGACCTCACCATCTGCATCCATCTGATCCATCTCTCCGCCTCGACTCGCAGGCAAGCTTGCTCTCTACAGGCTATGGGGGAGGAGCCTGCCTTCCTCGTCTTCGTCTTCATCCTTCAAACGGAGGGAATGTTAGATCTGTACTTGAAGCGAGCCTTGCTGACCTAGCCGTGGGTTTCACTCAAACTGCACAGCCACTCCCCACCTCCTCGAGGGCTTCGTCACCTCCTTCTCCCATCTCCTCATCGTCATCCTCTTCCTGCACATGTGCCAGCACACCTTCGACTCCGAAAACGTCCATGTCGAACTCAGCCATTAAAAAATACCTTCAGTTCTACCTTCACTCCAACTGCCCCAAGAACAGAAACCGCTGCTCGGCAGACATATGCACAGGGGACAGCACCCCGTGTGCGACCTTTCAACGAGCATCCCTCTACGATGAGAGCTGCGAACAGGGAACGGGTGCGCGTGTGCAGAAGCTCTAGGTGATAGCTGGGATTACCGTCATGGTCCGGCGACAAGGTTCTGACACTCGGTGGTTCGGAACACTTGGGGCTCCAAAGAGAACACTTCGACACCTGCAAGGCATTGAGCATTACTTCGAATGTTCCAGCTACGTTCGAGATGTTGTAGCTTGCTGTGGCCTGACAGCAGGACTGCAGATGAAGTCCCGTTCGGGCTGCAGTTCGATGCTGCCTGCTTTTTGTAAATCTGTCTTTTCTAGAGCGACGGTGAAGCCCCAGATACCATGAAGCTCAAGACCCCCACATGTGCATTTGCCTCCTCGTCATCCTCAACAGCCGCGATCTCTACGGCCTCCTTTCCAGCAAGCACTACTTCGTGAAAGCAGAACCCGTCTCACCGCCAGAAAACACACAGATCCCACTGCACAGTGCCTCAAAACAAGGCTGCCAAGTCAAGGGTTGCTGACATTGCCCAGCCCAGCTGCCGATTACACTTTTCAGCAGTTCTCCGGGCCTCGTCCCCGGGTCGAAGCTCCTCTCGTCTAAGCGCCTCTCTGCATTTAGCGCCCCGCTAGTCTCTGGATGCTGCACAAGGCAGTAGATGGGGAGGAAGAAGCAGAAGGAACGCAGAAGGAAAGAAGATGGCGCTGATGTATCCTTTGCTGTTGGTGGCCTCGTCTACGTGAGCTTCCATGCCAATGACGTGGAAGACCCTGGACACGAGAAGTTGTGGCAAAGCACTCGAGGTTCAACATCTTCGCGACATCATACTGTCTTCCCGACTTGTGCGACTGATGGACGCAAGACTGCATCACGGAGCTGGCATCTTTTTGCTTCAGTGAAGCACAGAAGAGCAGAGAACAGCAGGGGTCTCTCACTGCCTAGCGGGCTCGAACCAGGTCGATGCTTAGAACCACAGTGACTGAACTGCTCGCCCGCAGGCGTGCAGGCCCGCAGGCCCGCAGGCAGGGTGAGAGGCCCTGGCCCCCGTCGCTGCCAACGACCCTCTCGTTCGCGGCAGCATCCCATCTAATTCAATTCCACGGAGCTGTGGTTCTGACTGTAATACCAGCCCGTCTTGGCAATTGGGTTTCGAAGGATTCTCAGCCCAACCAACCACAGGCCCCACAAATATTCGGGCGGGGCTGCCACCTAAGGGCAGAACCGCCACAAGAGAAGCAAAAGTGGCGCAAGTGTCAGCAGTATTGCGCAGATGCTAAAACCAAACGAAGCAGACTTCCTCCTCGACGATCATACTGCTGCCGGCTGATACTCGCACAAAATGGTCTGAAGCCCTGTGGGCTATCGCAGCGGCAAGGCGGTTGCCTACAACTGCACTGCCGCATCAAAGCATGGTACTCACGAGTCAAAGAGCTTGCCTGAGGTCTCCAGTCCGAACCGGGCAGGGATGCGACTGCTCGCGGTGTTGGAGCAACAGACACAGCTGCACAGGGGTGCACATCCCCTCGTTCCTTGCACTGCCAAGTTGCGCTCGAAGCTGTGGAGGCCGTGGACGCCTCCTTCCCTCTGAGCTGCGGCTGAACGCAGCTCGAAGCGCAGCTGACCCTCCTGAGGAGGACACATAGTCGGGTTTCGATGGCAAACCCTGCAGTGGCCCAACAACAAAGAATACAAAGATTGGCAAACCGCTTCGTCTGCACAGGAGCGAGAGAAGTCTCTAAAGCTTGAAGAGCAGCCGCGCGTGGCGAAAATGCAGCTACATGGGTTGAATCAGTTTTTCTTGTGCCCCTTGGTAGCCTTAGCAAGAAAGATGTCAGACCCGGCAGCGATATGATCCCGGCAAAAGCTCCAGGCAACAGGGGCCGGCTGTTGTGCCGATCCCGCCCGTCTACCCCTCACCAGCCGCTGTGCAGAGCTGCACGACATTTGGCCGTGACCAGATAACAAGCGACCCAGAACGTTCACACGTATTGCACCCACTACCAGTAACTTCCATTGCAGCAAATATTTGTAGCCAGACACGCAATGATGAAACACTAAGGCCAAACCACGGCCTTTCGTCAGGCAACAAAATGGTCTGGCCTGCAGCATCGCCTGCAGCTGGTCAACGCTCTTGGCGCCAATGTCCTGCAGCCATCGGACACCAAAGGCCAGGAAAGGCCAACGCTGACGCAAGATGTGTCACTTCCCAGGGGTCTATACGTCCTGCATTCCGTGTCTGATGCCCTGAGTGAGGTAGGGGATGTATCTGTGGATGCTGCCTTTGTCCTGGACCGTGCCGGAGACCCCCTGGCAAGGGCGGCAGGGAGGGCGAGACATGGACGAATGGATCATATTCTGATCTCTCTCAAAACAGCCACCCTGTTTTGTGTTCATATAGTTCATATATGCATATCGCGTGTCTCTGTAAAGGGTGAAATATCTGAGGCAAACCCATCCACCCCCGCCTGGGCGACCTTGATGCTCGAGGTCGTGCCAAAGTACCGGTCGTCGGAGCCCTGGTGCACAGCCAAAATGCGTGTCTCGTCAGGGCCCAAAGCGATTGTGGCTGCGGCCTTCTTCATGGCATCGATCGAGCCCATTCCGCGGTAACGCTTCAGCCGCTTGCCGTCCTCTGAGTAGAAGTACTCTCCAGGCGTCTCGGAGGTTCCTTTGCAAGGAAGAACTGTAACCGTCACCCTTCTCTGAACATGCACTCGCACAGCTCTCAGCTCGATCCTGCGAGCAGGCTCCCGCACATGGCGGCACCGGCGCCGAGGCTCAGGGCCTCACCAGGCACGAGTCGCTCAGAGCCGAATCTCTTGCGGCCGTTACCGTTGGTCTTCGAGTCTGCGCCTTCACGATGTGACCAGGGCTGGAGATGCCGCCTGAGACGATCGATGCGGCAATCAAAAGATCCGCTGCGAAGCTGAAAGCGCGTGTCAGATTCAACCCTTCTCCTGGGCTGGAGCAGACCTCTGAACCCCAGCCGGCAGGCAGCCGTCTCTGTTTGCCCTGCAGTGGGGCAGCTGAAGAACAAAATTCTGGCCGGCTCACCATCTGCCAGAATGGGCACGCCGTACATCCTGGCAAGCTTAGCCACGTTGTAGACCGCAGAGGCCTCACACAGAAAAGTACAGCGGCGGCAGCAAGCGTCACCAGGGATCCGCCGGCCTGTGCCCGGCCGCAAGCGCAGACTTCCTGTGTGGTGCAGATGGAGCCGATGCCCATACCTCGGCGGCGCAACACAGCCACCACAGCCACAGGACTCCCACCGCTATGCCGCTGCATTTTCTTGCGGCATGAACGCCCACGCGGAGGGCGTCGGCCCCGCATTCGATGAGGTTCTTGGCCTGCCGCTTCGTGACCACATTGCCGGCGACCACCTGTCCAAACAGGAAGCAACCACTGCTACAAACAAAACACCTGAGCACAGCCTTACAGAACCTTACAGAGTCACTGTCTCCAGCTCGCCTGCAAGTCTGGGAAGTTGCTCTTGATCCACTTGATCATTTCGTGCTGGAACAAGCTGTCGCCCTGGCTGCTGTCGATGACGACAGCATCCACACCTGGGCCCAAAGCTTCAGGTTAAGAAGACGAAATTATAGGAGTTATGCTCTTCTGCTGTCCGAGGCAAGGTGCCAGCAGCCACGAGAGCTCGGACACGCTCTTTGTCGTTGGGCCGGGTGCCAATGGCAGCAGCGACCAGGAGGCCCTTGTTCACTGCTTCCTGCGGCCACTCTAAAGTCAAGCAAACGCTTTCGGCTTGCAACTAGAAGCTAGCAGATCTTGACAGTTGCATCGACAAACTTCCGCGGACCTTTGTCGCGTTGGGAAACTCGACATTCTTCTTGATGTCTGTTCGGGAGACCATGGCTACCAGCAGGCCCGACTGGGTCATGATCGGAAGCTTGCCCTTCTTTGACTTCTGCAGAAGGGCGTTGGCTTCCAAGAGGTCACAGCCTTCCCGCATGGTCACCAGGTCCTTTGCTGGTGTCATGATGGCGCTGAGCCGAGTGTTGCGGTCCTGTCCAATTGCTGATGTGGCTTGGCAAAGACATCAATCAGACTGCTAGGACATGGCGCTGTAACACAAGCTAGGTAGACAGGCAGGCAGGCAGAAAGAAAGAAAGATGTAGACATACGCGGGAGAGCCACTTGTGCGCTCACTTAAAAGACTCACTGCGGGGGCATCTTCTGATCGCCAGTGATACCAGGGGCTGACGATCGGGCGGGGACAACTGCTGAGAGGAACCAGAAGAGCAGTCCGCGATGAAGTCGGTGTCGCGCTTTGTCACCAAGCCGAGGAGTTTGGCACCCATCTGTCCGTTCTCCGTGACCGGGAATCCAGTGAAGCCTGAAGCAGCCATTGCAACCAGCCATAACAGGAGCAAGCACGATAATCGCAGCACTAAGTACGGTGACCATGACAAACAAAACATGCCAAGATTACCAACACTAGTACTAGCCCTTTGCAAAAACAGGAAGCGCAATGTTGTGGCAGCAATCCACACTAACAGTAATAAGTTACCAAGTAATAAGTAAGCAAGTAGCAGCAGTAGCCGTAAAGGCAATATGCGTCGCTTCTATCGTAGGAGGTTGATCAGAATAGCAACAACAAGAGCAAGAACAAGAACAACCGCAACCCCAAGCCCAACCCCTACCCCAATCCTACCCCACACCCCAACCAACTGCAACACCGACACCGACACCACCACACCACACCCACCACCCACAAGAACCACACGGCTCGGTGTCATTGTCATTACTATCAACATTCTTAATCATATTCCTTCTGATTGCTGTTGATATTGCTATGTTGCGTCTATTTGCAGTGCCTACTAACCAGAACTGAACCAGAACCAGAATCACAGCAGCAGCAGCAGCAGCAGCGGCGGCGGCGGCGGCAGCAGCAGCAGCAGCAGCAGCCGCAGCGGCGGCGACGACGACGACGACCACAACAACAACAACCACCACCAGTACGACGACGACATTTGCGATTCATTACAACCAGCCATTGTAAGAATGCCACATAGTACTGCATGTGGCCGAGATGCCGTGCTTGGTCTTGAGCAAATCCAACTCATCTAAGGTCATCGTAGGCAGAACACACACCTGGGCAGCAAAGACATCCAGCCCCTGCCGAGCCTTCAAAAACGTCCTTGTTGCTGAGGCGCGGGATCCAGGATGAAGCCGGCCTTGTATTTCTTTACCCGCGAGACTTCCCTCGCCTGGTCCTCGATGGCCATGTTCGTGTGGATAACGCCAATGCCGCCTGTGAGTAAGGTGCAAAGCGGTTTGCAGGATGCGAGGGGAAGGGCGGAAGGAAGGGCAAAACCTGGCACTAGGTCACTAGGCCTTCTAATGCCATGGCGATGGCCATGTTGGATTCTGTCACTGTGTCCATCGGGCTGGACACGATGGGCGTCCGCAAGGAGATGCGCTTCGTGAACTGGGACCCCAAGCAAACATCCTGAAGTGCTCGCATCTCTGCTTGCAGGCTACAGATCTTCTTGGGACTGCAATGCTGTCTGCACCATCTGTAACTAAGAAGAGCTCATGCACTCCGAAGTTGATGTGCCCAGGCAGGCAGATGAGGTCGTCGTACGTGTAGCCACTCATGGCCGTTTTGGAACCAAAGACTTGAGCTGCAGAAAACCCATCCTTCGTGGCACAATGTGTCTAGGCTTCCGGTACGACGAGCAACATCAGAAGCACAATTTAGAAACTTCAGCAAGGACTCTTGCAGGTCTTCTTCGGAGAGCTGCGGCTTGACAAGATCCGTCTTCCTGAAAAGCCACATTCGCCAGCAAACGATTACGGTACATGGGGCAAGCGTCGCATCCCGGATGCGAGCCGAGTCTCAACTCCTTCTTGGGGGAGCGGCTTCGCTCCTCTGACAAAGCCAAGAGAGGCGAGATCAGATCAACATGCAACGAGATGTCCTTCACAGGACTGGCGCCATTTGCAATGCCGACCATCTTTCCAGACTGGAGCTGCGGCTGCGGCTTGAGCTGTTCGGCGGGGCGATAGCGTGACACTTCCATTCAAGTGATCCCCTGGCCCACTAGTCTCCGCAACGCATGTCTGGCTCGCGCATCGCACGCCGGCTGGGCTTGCTGCGTGAAAGTACAAACATCCGCACCGCGCAATGTGTAAGATGCAGCTTCAATACGGGTCAAGTCCTGTGCGGGCCTCGCGGCCCGTTCAGAATCCAGCGACTCACTGCGCAGCATCTCGGGACCCTTAGCTGCCAGAAATGTTGTTCGTCATTCGTACGAGGTTCTTCAGCGTAAAACCCTGATCCATTAACTCCTGCCTACACGCTTCGAGACCAGCATGACATACCTCTCCCGTCCATCTCCGCCCTATACCTAGCTTTGGATCCAGCTCCAGGAGAAGCATCCGTTCGCCGAGGGTCGGTTCCTGTCACGATTCCATGCTCAGTGAGGGAAGGATGCAGCAGTTGCCGCGCAGTCCTGTCTGAATCTCCCGGCGAGACAGCAGCTCCAGGCACCTTCGCTCGGACTTCGCGGAGCAAAGCCGGAGCCACGGCCGTTCTCAGTTATCTTGACATACCCAAGGCCCTGCGGTCCCCGCCTGACCACTGCACCCGCAACCTGCGACGATTCGCTGCGCTGGAGATCCAAGCCTCGGAGTCGCAACTTGAATGCCAACGTGCGAGCAGCTGGTTCCAGAGCCGGAAAACGAAGCGAGGCGGACGGCGGACCAAAAGCTACACCCTAGCTGCACAAACAGTTGACAGCGAGGTCTGCTCTGTTTCGAGGCTGGCGACGTGCCAGGACGGCCACGAACGCGTCCCGGAGAACCTGTCGACCGTGGTGCTCTTTCTCGCACAATGCAAAGCTGATGAAATCTTCGCTTCACCCCCTGGCTGAGGGACGATGCCGCAAGCTGAAGTGTTGATTCATGGCTCTAATCACCCGACCAAACACAGCTGCCAGCCGAGCAGAGTCTGGTTTTTTCATTCAACACCCCACCTGGAGCTCCTCCTTGGCACTGAAAGGAACGGGATGGCGTGTCCGCGCCTCGTCAAGCAGCGTCTATAGGTCAAAGTTCTCTTGGCTGAAAACGGCCAAGGAGAAAAGGGCTTGAGGTCTGCGCGACGGAATAATGATGTGAGTAAGTGTCCCCATTCCTACACATCTTATGGGGCGCTGGGGCACGCGGAAGAAGACGCCTACGCCCCACAACCCCCACTTCCCTAAGTGTGCGTCTGTGCTACGCCTGCCCAGCTATCGGAAAGGAGGGGCATTTCACACATGCTGCCCAAGGCCTCAGATCCTTGTCAAAAAGAGGCGAAGACAACAACCGGCACGCAGCGTAACTGATGCGGGCACCTTCTTGGCAGGTGGGGCAGCTGCATTGCTTCCTGGCGAAGGCGCTGCAGAAGCAAGGTCGCGAGTGTTTGGACATGAAACGCCCCAGCATCAGGCCTCCAGGATTATCCAGAGCTGCGAGTCGTGGGGAGGCTTTCTCCTCCAAGCGCTTGGGAGATGTGCTAGCGAATCTTTTCATACTGCTGCGCCGAAGCCGAAGCTCCTGGGCCGCGGAGTTGCCAGGCGACTCCTTTTCCTCCTGCACATGCCACACGCTATCCGGCTGTGTCTGTGCCATACCTGGATATCAAAGAGCAGTTCATTGACGTGAGGAGCATTGGCCTTCCGAGTCATCTTAAAGCAAATGGCGCCGTCTTGCCTTGCGCTCCGCAGCATTCGCTGCACTAAGCAGCCTTGCGACGATCGTTGACAGAGTCGATACCTCAGCAGGGCAGCCTGTTCAACATGTTCAGCTCACTTGACAAGTATATAGACTATTATATAGAGAGCAACGTACCATAGGCTGTGTGACATCAGCATGCACTGTGATAGGCCGCGCCTGCGACCCATATATGCCTTGGTCCTCTGTCGCTCGAGGGCCTGTCACATTCGGGCAGTGACACGCAGTGACTCTCAGCGCAAGCTCCGATCTGTGCACAGCCGACCTTCGGCCAAAGAGCGGAGCAGAACAATCGCCTGAAGCTGATCGCAAAAAAAAGCGGAAGAACGGCTCTCGTCATGAACATGAGCACCGACCGACATGTCAAGACTGAACTCACTGAAACTGCAGATGAAGCCTGGAGTGATGCCTTTGTTAGCATGCATTATCGGGAAAGCCCTCAGACTACAATAATGCAGAAATCCTCAACGTGTCTTTTCTCTCCGCATCTTACAGAGCCAGCAATTCTTGTGCTGGCCATTCTCCGCAAGTCTCTTTCAAGTGTCTGAGATTGGGGAGACACTTGCTTCATTCACAGCATAGGCATGGCCGCAAATCACCAATGCCTCAGGCCGCTCTGACCGGTGTCATGAGAAATTGACCACTCTACAGGCCAAGCAACCAGGAAAATCTGAATGAAGATGTGCCTTGCGATCGCAAACAACACAACTCGGGTCTCTCGCACAACTCGTGCACTCGAATCGAGCACTGGCACTCACCCGGCACTGCGAGGCAGGGTGCAACTGCCACAACGATCTGACAAAAAAGATCCACAGCAGCAAATGGATACCCTGCAACCTCAGCAAGCGAGCTGCGGCAAAGCACCTCTGAGACCGCTTCCTCACGAAAATGTCAGCAGGCCAACTTATGCTTGCAGCAACGGAGCACCATCACATGAACGGATGGGCCAAACTGCCCTACTTTCTGTGGGGGCAGAAGCAGCAGAAAAGTCTGAGCGGCCACCAGCCTCAGAATGCATTAACTTGACATCCACAGAAAGGAGAACAGGACCAGACAGGAGTCATTTCGCGGCACATGGCATCGATAGTGCAGCCATCTGGTCAAGCGGCCAAGTCAGGATGCCAAATCGCGACAGAGAGTGAAGCAACAGGAGTGCAAAGAGAATGCTCACGTAGTGGGACAGAAGCCGTGGTATGTTGCTCCTGAGCAATCCACACAGGGGCGCATGGCAAGGCAATCCTCCTGTGTGGTTTGGCAACCTAGGCACTTAAGCCGCAGCAGCCAGGGTGACTCTCCACGCCTTGACGTCCTCTTGGGACCTTAGTCAGGGATTTGAGGGGTCTCCGAACCCCATCTGCTCCTACCTGGTAGCAGCTCCGAGCCTCCATCCATCTCCAGAGACATGAACTGCACCCATGTCAGCGGCATCGGCAGGCCTCATCCATGTAAACAGCTCACTGTGCCAAGTGGAACTTCTTTGCAGACATGCGCTGGTTTGGCCACTTGCTCTCCGAATGCACACAAGCCTTTTCGTCGATGTGCAGAAGGGTTTTTTGAAACTGTACATGCGCTAAAAGTAGCTGGAACCTTAAATACCGGGGACTCGCAGCGGACTGCACGGGAAAACGACGCCAAATCACGAGTTGACCCGTTCGAAATTGGCATCGATGCGCAGTCCGCCGGGCCGGACGGGTCAGCAAGCCTGCCCGGGTACCTAGCATCGGGTAGATCATGCTTCAGCACGTCACCACAATGCTTGAAGTCTGGAGAAGTATTCTGAGAAGGAATCAGAGCGTGGAATGGCTCTCGCGAAGGGGCTGCATCTGAACTCTAGCGATGAACCATACTGGAAGACAAAACAGAACACCGCCGCACCCTCCAGGGAACTCAAACGTGAAACTAGTGTCAAGTGCAGTGTCAGGCACTGCCGACATGGCAGATGTATCCACTGCCCCTAGGCTTCAAGGCTAGTCAAGTCTTGCTGCATCAGGTCCAGTGCCTCACGGAAGTTCACCACGTGAACCCGGTTCTGCAAAAGCTCCAGTACCTCTCGATGGGATCCTTCCTTATCAGCTTCAAGAGCTATGTCTTCCGCTGTGCGCTGCTTCGACGTCATCTGGCGAGGATCTGCTTTGGCCTGGAGCAAGAGATGTACAACTTCATGATCTCCAGCGTGGGCAGCGACATGGATCGGATATACTCGGGGTTTGGGAAAGAAGAGGCAGCCGCCCTTTGTGGGTCGTGGCATGGTAACATCATCCGTAAAACCGTTGGAATGAAGGAAGTCCTGCAGCTGCTGCCTCCGTTGTTTTCTGGACTGTGACCGCTTGCCTTCTTGGCAGACCTTCGCTCCTCCTGCTGCTTCTATGCGGAAGCCATGACCCATTCCGCCGCTGTTCACATGGTGCGGCAGGTCAAACTGAACCATCGGTAGAAAATTGCATCGGGGAAGCGCCGCGTGCCGGCTTGGGCCATTCGCGGCTAGGCTGGTCAAGTTCATGAGTTCATGGTCACCTCGTCAAGATCCAAACTCTTGGACTACAGGCTGCAAGGCCCTGCAGGGTCCCAAGCTGAACCGGGCGCGGGGCCCAGCGGAGCTGACGGCGGCAGTCGGTCGATCAACTCAACCAGACGGGCTTCTGCCTGCGACTTCTGAAGCCTGGATTCTTCTAGGATCCAGGAACTTGGCGCTGCTTTACCGGGCGATACATTGAGTGGCAGGAAGCGCTCACACCACACCCAGCAAGGACGTGGGAACGGGCACATCCGAGAATCTGGGCAACTCTTGCTTTGTACGAGAAAGCATATGTTCGCTGTGACAACGATGGTCCGCGATAATCACGTCTATGTGCTCATGCTCATGCGATGCTGCTTGTGCAGTTCTTCTTCACTGACAGCGAAAGACCTCCAGCGACCCACCGACTCCAGGTTAAGTTGGACATGATAATGTGTGCTGCTGCACAAGTTCTGACCGCAATTTTTTGGCTGCCCCCCCGAACTCCAAGGAGAAAGAGCGGAAGCTTGGAAGAGCCTGCTATTCTGAGTCCACTCGTTGTGCCCCCACTCGCTGCTAGGCTCCAACTCTTCTTGCTGTCGCTGGCCTCGCATCGCCAAGCCGCGGATCGCAGCAGCTCAGAGACCAGGGTCCCGGCGAAGAGCGCCTGGCATTTCGCTTTTTCGATAAAACGTCATCGTGTCGCAACTTCCCCATCCCACACGGAAATCCAAGAACAACATGTCCACGCATTCGCCCAACAGCTTGAGAGAGACGTGTCAAATCACATCTTTCACACATCGTCCGCCTCCACCGATGACCAGACCCCACTTGGAGGAGCGCGTGGAGCGGAAGCTGCCTCGCTTTCGTCCTGCAACCGCAACAAAGCGGCAACGAAGGACTCGACTGCCTCGACTTCTTCGCACCTCCCGTGGCGCCGGCTTCGATTTGTTCGACTTGCCGCGCTTCTTCGCAGAGGGGACAGGAACCTCACGCTCGGCGCGCGCGACCTTCGTGCGACAGGCCCAACTCTGAAGTGTGTGGTTGCACGGTGCTTGCGAACAGTCTTGGCGGAAGGAGGATGATGTCTCCAGAGACACAGGTGTGCTTCCGCACACCGAACAGCCCTTCAATGCGAGTAGCTTTGGAGTGCTTGCTGCCAGCCTCCTGCTGCTCAGGAGCATCTGCCTGAAGCATTGCAGCAGGAAAAGTGAATCACCTTGACGTAAAGCTTGCTTCCATGTTCCGATACGGTGTTTTGAGTACAGAGTAAGTTTGGCTAGGGATAAAGATTTTTCAACATACTATAGTGCCGTAGCTGTGCTGGAACAGTTGTTGGACCATGACGTTTGAGCTAGTGTCGCACTTCTGTTTGTGACAATATCATATATCTGGCGCTTTGTGAGCGGCTTCTTTGAACAACCTCGCGCACACTAGAGTCACTAGAGCAAGGTAGCCACTGCGCACCTGCACATCTTCGTCCTCAGACTGGCCCGGGTCTGCGGGCCCCCAGCGTCGGCCTCCAGTCGAGAAATGTAGGACACTGGAACTAGGCAGACCAGGCAGCACCATGATGCTTCCGCGCCTGAGTTCGCAAGGGAGGACAGAGGTGCCCTGGTCGGCGCGCTTGGAGGCCGCCCAGGCTTCGAAGCTTTTGTCGCCGCAAAACCATCCGTCGCTTCTTCGTTGCCTTGGGCCTCTGGAAGAGGGGGCGGTGGGGGCCTCTCCATGGGCAGGCCCTCCGTCCAGAAGCCATCGTCCTCTGTCTCCGTCGCTTGTCGCACTTTCGCTACAGCCTCGGCTCTGAGTCGCTGCGCGAAGCTGATTGTCTGCGAGGCCCATGAGCTGCTCTTGGCTGATGCCTTTTTTTTGGCATCTAATGCCACAGCCGCTGCACCCCGCACAGGCGTCGACTGTGCAGCTGGCATTGTTTGGGCCTTCCGTGCGATGGAAGACCATCCTGCTTTTGGCACGTTCGGTGGCTCCTCTGGAATGTCGGCACCGCGCCGGGCACAGAGGGCCGCACCCAACTTCTCATCGCCAGCATCACGAATCTTTCTGCATTCTTCGTAACGCCGCTTAAATGCCTGCAAATCTGCATTGGATCGGAAGCTGTGTCTTCCAGCCTGCCACTTTTGATAGATGGGTGAGAGCTCCTTCCAATCTGTTTCAGCCTGCTTCAGTGAGGCCTCAATGTCCCGGACAGCTTTGGACTCGGCAGCAGGAGTCTTGCCTCGAACCTGGACTAAAAGCTGCTGCAAGCGATCGATGCCTGCTTTGGCCCTTTCGTCTCGCAGAGCCTTCGGCAGACGGTCCACAAGTTTCGACTGGACTTTCTTTGCATGCGGCTCGGCCTGTCCCTGCAGCTTCGAGATCTGCTCCTGGAGGTCATCTACGGTTCGTCCAAAGCAACGCATCTCGCAGAGATGCCTATCAACTTTCAGACCCTGCCAGCATCTGCCAGTGCATGTTATCTTCGAGTCTCAATGGAACGGCTTAGGAAGGCTCCTTGCTGGGACAACGAACAAGCAGCTTGTGAACGGCTTCGTGGTCTGTAGTGTCAGCACAGTAACAATGCTTCAAGACCATAACAATCGAACAGAATTCTGACAAGCCAGCCGGCACGGCTCCGCTCCTGCAAGAAGGCCTCTGCGAGTGGCTTCTCCCTCTTTGTCAGAGGCTCCTTCGCTTCGTCCAACAACTCCCGCTCTCTACAGCTCGTGTTGCTACATTCCACTGTTTTGTTTGTCTGGCGGCATTGAATATGTTCCTTCTCTCTCACCGATCTCGAATCTGGCACATGGGGAGGGCTTGTGAGCATAAAAATGGACAACACTGCTTACCCGATTGCTCCCCGCAAATCCCCTTGCGTGCCATTGGTGTGGAGACTGCTGCCACGTTTGGGCAGTTTGGGCAGCAGTTGGCCTTCGGTCAGCTGGGCGGTTCCGTCGGATTGGCGGACAATATCGTTGAAAGGGTACATACAGCCTTTTCTCACGCACCAAAACACCGCAAAACAGGCACGCATGCCAAACCTGCACCAACCCATCGAACCCGACTACCAAGCTGACTAGGCCCGCTGCACCACGTACTCATTAGTAACCAAAAAGGACAACATGAGGCACCACAGTGACACACCAAGCCGCATCCCAGCCCAACTTCACACAACCTCGCGACGCCTGCAGGAAGCGCACTAGCAGTAGCACACTGACCAAACCTGCCGCGTAGGTTTGCGGTACGCTGCAGAGATGCGGGAAGAGGCTGATGCCGGCAACAGCCCGGCTTTTCACGCGCACAACCCAACTGCACGACCGGGTAAATACGAATCAAAACGGCCGGTCTGGCAACCAACCTGTGTTTCTGCAGCCGGCTGAAGGCAATGTAGCCTGATTGCTCATGCCTGGTCCGACCCAAACACCACAGATTCAAATCAATCGAAGTTTCTCTCGCCCATGCTAGTGTCCAGACCTGAGGCTCCTGAAGTCTCCAAGCCGCTTCAATCATAAGTTCACGCCAACCCGAACTTTCTGACACATTTAAATGGTAACCTGTTCAAACGACCTGACTTGACTTGAGCTACCCATGCTAATAGCTAACATGAAATTTCCTGTTTCAATGAACCCGACCAACCCTAACCTCACCAATCCTACAGCAGAAGGCTTGCATCACCAGTCAGATCTCTGCTTGAATCATCGTGGCCACCCAGAGTTTCAATCAAGCTTTGATAGGAGCCAAAAGCCAAACTGTCTATGCCCTTCTGCACGCGAATGCACATTCTAGAGCTTCGCAGGGTTCAAGACATGAAGGGGCTTTGCATCACCGGCCCAAAAACGCCCGAGGCGGCTAATTGCAGAATGTTCAATCCTTATGTGTACCGTGATGAGTCATCATTGTCGTTGTTGGTCTGCTAACTGAATTACGTTGATGTGCATCTACACTGAATCTACACATGCATGTTCTGTTTTGGTATGGTACCCGTTCCAAACTTTCTGCGTGGACACTCTAGCGGGTACAGACACGTCCGCCTTCTGCGTCTTGTCCATGCCTCTTTCAGCAACTACCACGACGTGGTGCCTGTTAAACTTTGGCCTTGTTCAAGCTGGCCTGGTCTGCGGTCGCATTTGACGCGAAGACATTTCGTGAGATGCTGCGAACTGGACGTGCAGGGGCGGTATTTCAGGGTGAACGCTTCAGCCATTGCTGGGCTCATGCGTGAGTCTATCTAACTAGGTATGGAAAGCACGCCGGATTGTCGAAACCCTGTGACGGCGACCGCAGCGCTCTCGAAATGAAGATGTCGGCTAAGTTTCACACCACGGCACTGCCTGGCTCATGCGCCAATCTATCTCAGTGTTGAAAGGAGGCCGGATGGTCGAAACCCACGCGCGGATTGACTATCCCAACGTGATGAAGCTTGGAGCCAAGCCAATCCAACGTAGCTTCACCGAACGCCTACACCAGCTCGATTCATGTGTCCATAACAAAGCCGAAGCCCCCAACCTGACCTCGAAAGACTTAGCCGGAACCTGTTTACCTGTCACATTTTGCGATGCCACTCCCGTGGCTGAGAGTCATTTGGGCTACTTTGACCTGTCATTGCTACAATTGCTACAAGCGAAGAAACACGTGCAAGAGAGTGCTTGCTTCCTGCTGGTGCATAATTATTTGCCTTTGGTGTTGAGATCTGTTGGTTTGATCTGTCTTTGTGCCAAATGTCTGCTTTGGTTGCTGACTCAGGCCAACCGAGGCTCTGGCTAATCTAGAAGTTCCGGACTGCAGTGGCACCCTCGCACCGATCGTCTTCTTGCGTCATCCAGGAAAGTACAGGGATTGCATGACATTATAAACGGAGTGCCAACACCCGGACTTCTTACTACACACTGCCCTCTCTTCTTCGTCTACATGGCCTGAAATCCCATTTGCTTGCTTGCTCGCTGGGCGTCGTGTGAGGTGAGGCGTGTAGGACCCCGTCCCCCTGCGCAGAAGAGTTACGCCAGTGTCCGAGTCCGGGTCTGCGTGAAACATTGCAGAGGGTGTTGACTGCAGCAAGTTCCCAGGACAAGCCCCGAACTCAAACATTCACCGGTTGGTCCTGTAGAGACCGTTTCTCTCATTCTCTTTCTGTCATTTTGAAAAGAAGTTTCGCAGGTTGCCAGCAAACTCTCTCGATCAATTTGAGCGTCCTCCAACCGGCAGCCCATGGCGCGGCGCACACGGCCCTGGGCCTCCAGGATTGCTGGACGCTGCTCCAGAAGAGCAGCTTCCTGCGAGATTGACATACATCCCTCCTTGATAGCATTCCATGTTTTGCCTCTTCTATCTTCGAAAAAGCTGGGTTTGTGCCTTGTGGCCCTTCACCAGTGGACTGCTCATGTCCGGGCACTTCCAAGATTAGTAGTGCACAAACCTTGAAGCACTACAGCCCCGGCACTTTGATTTGCTTGAGTCGTCGTCCTGGGCTTTGGGCGCTTTGGACACAGAGGCTTGATCTGCCCTGTCCAAGAGGTCACCAATCTCGGAGAGGTAGCGGGAGAGGCCGTATAAGGAGTAGGGCTCCTCAGCTGCGAAAACTGCGTTCTGGCAGCGCTGCTGTTGACAGATCGGCTGCGCAGAAAAGTTCGAAGGTGGGTTCGAAGTTAGAAGCAAAACAAGTCACTCATGGTGCTTCTTCTTGGCTCCTGCCGACTGGACGATTTGATGGCACGTCACGGAACCCTTGGTGAAAAGGGTCTCTTTCCATCCCAACCTCTTTTTCGCGGTGGATGGCTTAACAACATGCTGCCGAAGTCGCGTGAGTGACTGACTGCGGCAAAGTCTTCTTAATCTCTTAACCATAAACAATTGCTTGAGCAAGTCCTCGCTGAATCCCGTGCACAACAAGGAATTCTCCTGAACACTGTCAAGCGCGGCCAAACTGGGCCAAGCATCCACATCTTCGACCTTGCTCAGGACATCATCCGCCATAGCTCGAAAGCACCAAACGAAAATCGAAAGAGTTAAACTTTCAGGAATCGGCTAGGATGTGGCCAAAACTTCAAAACTTGAGCGTCTGCTGTCTCTTCCCAATGAGCTTCTAAATCTGAAGAGCTGAAGAAGCTGGTCGCAAGATGTGAAGTGTTTGCTGCTGGATGACACCATCTCTTGCGAGGGAGTAGAACCTCAGAATGGCTTCGTAGTGCTTGTTCCGCCTGGATTCTCATGCTTGAGTAGGCTTACATGAAGCATCAGGCTCTGGCATGAGCTTGTTTGTGTTCCCCTCACTCGCCACAGCAACATGAAATCCTCGCGTGCAAGATTCGGGCCTCCGAGACTAGCGTCTTCCGAGGTTCGCCGGGTTGGCGCGCCGCGGCACAGAGTACGGACTCGGAGATTGTGCGAGGGCTCTGCTGGGTTGGAAGACAACAGCAAAACCAAGCCAAACCCTGACTGTCATCACCATACTCGTGCGGCAGCAAATGCAAGTCATGATTGCCATTATTGAGGAAAGGCGATACTACAAGCAAGCATACATTCATGTGTATGTATGCATGTATGTATGAATGTATGAATG